GCTGTGCGCCGGGGACCTGACCCCCTCCAAGGATCCGGAGACCGACGCGCAGAGCCTCGTCCGGCTGAGTTGCTTCGGTGCGCCCCCCCCCCCCCCCCCCTGCCTATCCCTTCTCCCCTGCGGCATGGGATGGGACGCCGGGCTCGCTCCCGGGCGGCCCGCTCAACTTGCGCCACACGGCGTGGCCGGCCTGGCGCCTGTCTGACTCCCCCCCCCCCCCCCCCTCGCCTGCCCTTTCGATGGCAGACCTTTTCCACCGGGACTGCCTTGTCGGGTATCTGGCTCAGAAGTCCGGTGTGGCGGCCGGACACCCGCACGCGCGCCCGGAGCAGCTGGCCCAGCACATGCAACTGAAGGACATCGAGAATGTCCCGTGCCCCTCTTGCGTTGTACGTCCGACAAGGGGGGAGGCAGCAAGTGACGGGACACAAAGGCGCGGTCTTTCCCTCTCTCTCTCTCTCTGTTTGTGCTTTGTGGCGCCGCCCTCGCCCACCAAAAGATTGGTCCTGCCTCTATGTCGGCCCTTCGCGCCGGGTGCTGACGTCAAACGCGCGCCTGCCCCCGCGCGCCCCTCTCGCCGGTGGCGTCGATCCAGAAACCCGTCCTCCCGGCGCCCGGCAACCTGGGCCCCCTGGCCAGCCGGCTGCGGGCCTTCTTCGAGGAAACCTTCCGGCCGATGGCGGGGAGCCAGTTTTCTTCGCAATCCACCGTGGACCTCTCTGCCCCGGGGGGGGGCCCGGCGTCGGGCGGTGGCAACACCATCGGCCCTGGCCCCATCACCCCCGGGGGAGGGACGTACCAATCGCACCTGCCGGGCGGCATGCCCGGGGTGTCGCACCCTGGTGGCCCGGCGCCCGGCCCCGAGGCTGCCGGGCTGTATATCCCCCCGGCGGTGGCCACAGCCCCGGCTCCGGGGGATGTCTACATGTATGTGCCTCCCCCCCCCCCCCCCTGGGGCCCGGGCAGGGTGCTTTCGCTTCCTCCCCACGCTCGCTCTTTTTCTTCGGGGAGGGGAGCCGCCAGTCGGGTACTGACCAGCCTGTCGCAGTCCGATGCGTTCGCGGTCCATTGCCGATGATGATGACAAGGACAAGTATCGGTCCAAAAGCAGTCTCAAGGGACGCTCGCCGATGCTCCGGTACGTGTTGCCAGCTGGCATACGGGGAGGGGGGGGGGCGGCAGGCCTTTTTCTCGGATGGCATGGCTCCTCCCGGGCCGGGGACGAAAGAGCCGCCACACAAAAGCCACCTCCGCGCACGCGCACTCACGCACGCACACTTTCCCGCCAAATGTGCCCCGTGTGCCCATTCACACCATGCTGGTCCTCGCGTCGGCGCCGGGCCTGGCCGCGCGCAGTGCCGGTGCCTTTTCTCCCAGCCGGCGCGCCCGGCGGCTGATGCTGTCCTTCGTCCTGATGGCCACCATCATGCTTCTGCTTTACTATGTGATCCAGTCGTCGGATCGCGGCACCGGGCCGGGCGTCCCGCCGGGCGGGGCGCCTGTCCCTGCTGCCGGGGCCGCCGCCGCCGCCGGGGCACCCTATTAGCTGCGCCTGCCAGAGGCAGGGGGGGGGGGCCGGGCGACGGGGTTGCGACCAGCGCCGGCCGCCGAACGCACATGCAAAGGAAAGAAGAAAGCGCCAATGTGTGCGTGTGCGTGCGTATGTGCACGCGCGCTGCCGCGCCCCCTCCCCAGCAAAGAGAGAAGGCCTCTCTCGGCTGCGGGGGGGGGCGGGGCAGAAAAAAAATACACTGGTGCCTCCCCTCGCCCCGATCGGCATGGGCGTCGCGTGACCGCGCGGCACGTGGGTGGGGATTTTACCCAGACATGGGGGAGCCCCTTTTGGGCCTGCCCTCGGGGGGGGCGGGGGAAGGGCGGCGCTGGTGCGGCGGCACGTCTGCCGGTGTGCGGGCGGCCGGGATGCCCTCCGTCGCCGGCACGGCGGCCTGGGGGCCGTCGACGCAGGCGCGTGTGGGGCCCGGGGCAGGGCGTCCCGCGCACCACGGGCGCATCGTCGCCCCTGGGTGCGCCCGGCCACGGCAGGGCATTAGTCATCCGCGCGATGGGAGGGGCCGGATGGCCGAACAGGCATCGAGCGGAGGCGTCGCCCGGGCCTGGGGGGCGGGGGGGGGGGGGGGTCGCCGGCTGGATCTCCCCGAGAGGTACTACGTGGGACATGTATATGGGTGCATTATTAAATGGGGGCTTTCGCCTCCCCGGTCGCCGCGCGTGGGGGGGGGGGGGGCTATTTCTCCCTCGCCCGCTGGCTGTTGTGTCCGCCCGCCGTTTCCCCCAGGGGGGGTGCGTGGAAGGGGCCCAGGGCGAGGGCTTAGGTATGGGCCGACTCGATGGAGCTGCGCTTTCTGGGGGTTTGCCCTGGGCCCCCGCCGGGGGGGGGGGGGGCGGGGGCAGGGTAGGCGCCGCGCCGCGCTGCCTCGGGCTGGGGTGGCATACGGCCGAGCGGCCTGGGGCGTCCGGGCGGGTCTCTGTTTCATCGGCCTCCGCTGGGGCCTTCGCTGCGGGGGCGTGTGTCCGGGAGGGGGGCGGGGGGAGGTGGACACCGCGCAGCCGCTGTCCTCCTGGGCGCATGCCCGGAGGGCGGACCCATCACGGCGGGGCGATGCGGCCCGCGCCCCGGGGGCGCACTGGCCCACGTCCGCCGCCCTTTTCCCCGGGTGGAATGCGGCGGCGGGCCGGCTGTCTGTGGGCCGAGGCCCGGAGCCCCGCCACCGGTCTGGCCATCTGACAACTGTCCCGCCTGCCCGCGGCCGAGCGGGCGCGCGTGAACGCTCCGGCGCGCGCCCCCCCCCCTGTCCGTTGGTGTGCACCGGCGGACGGCGTCCCCCCGATCCCGCGCTCTCGCCGGCCTTCGCAAGAGGGGCCGGACCCACGACTGGCGGAAAAAACGGGCGCCGCCTCGGCGGAGACCTTTCCCCCCTTCCTGACATGAGCATGCCCCCCCCCCCCCCCCTGCCCCCCGCGGCCCCGGCCCCCCGACGGCGGCCTCGCATGCCCTGTACACCGGCCGATCCGACCGCACTGAGCTATTCCTGGGAGCCCGAGCGGCGCTGGGGTTGGGCGCTGCTTTGGGCGTTATTCGAGGGGGGTGCCGGGGGGGGGGGGGGGCGCCGGGGGAGGGTCCGGCATCCCGCGGCTGTGGCTGCGAGTCTGCGGCTGCGGGAGCATTTTTCCTGAGGTCCCTGCGTCCCCCCCCCCCCCCTCGGGGCCGCCGCGCGCCGCGTTCAGGGAACATGGCCAGCCCTGGGCTGTTTTTTATTTCCCCCCCCCTGCCTGCCGGCATGCATAGTGCCGTTCCGCGGAGCCGTGTTTTCCTGGCCGCCCAATGGGCACGGAGACTTCGCCGCCAGGCCTGCGCCCCTCCCCCGGCCAGCAGCTGGCCCCACTGGGGGGCGGGCGGGGCACACCAGCTGATGGGGATCTCCGCGCCTCCGGGCTTTTGCGCCCAGGTGCGGGATGGCGGGGAAGAGGGGCCGAGGAAAAAGGGCGCGGCGATGCGTACGTGTACCGCCGGGCTTCTGGGTGATGTAATACGCCTTCCGGCGAGCTGGCGGCTCCCCGTGCACTTCGGCCCCCGGGGGGCGGCCAAGGGCGGCTGGCCCGGGCGCGCCGGGGGCGCATTGTCGGGCCACTTGCGACGGTACACAACACCTTCCGACGGTCACCCGACCTATGGGCGCCGACCTCTGCGGCAGGGGGATGTGTGAGCGGGGCAGGGTCGCTCCTGGGGGCATGCCCGCAGGTGTGTGCGTGCGTGCGTGCGTGCATGCGCGTGCATGCGCGCCGGGTGTGTGTGTGTGTGTTTGTTTTTCCCCGCGCCCCCTCCCCCGGGGCCCGGCTGCCTGTGGCTCTTTGCTGACGCCGGATGCGCGGGCTGGCGGGCGGCCCGTGGCCCCGGGTGCCGCGGCTTCTTTGCCCCCCCCCCCCCCCCGCCCCCCCCCCTCTCGCAGCGTCTCTCACCCCACCCGGGCTAGTCACTTGTTGATGGGGGGGCCGGGCATGCCTGCCTGTTCGGCTCCCGGGGGAGGGGCCGGTGACGCGGTTGCCCGTCCTGCCTGGGAGCGCGGCCCGCTGGCATGGGGGTTGCGGGCAGGACACAGCACCGGACCGAGGGCCGGGCGACTGGCGGCAGGCGTGTGCGCCGCCCCACTCGGGCAGCCGCCGCGGTGTGTGTGTGTGTGTGGGTGTGTGGGTGTGCTCATGGGGGGCCCGCCGGCGGCGGCGCACGAGCGCCCCGAGCCCGACCCACGCGTGTAAACACGCCCGCGCAGACGCACCCCCGGGCACTCGCACTGGCGCGTTCCGCCCCCCCCCCCCCCCCCCCCCCCCCCCCCCCCCCCCCCCCCCCCCCCCCCCCCC